CGATTTATCCTCTCGTTCTTTTTCACTGATTAGCAGTTGAACGAACTGTCACATTCGGGTATGACAAATTACTTGCATCGGGGTCTGGAATATTCCATTTCCTAGCGTTAGCATTAGTATCCTGCCAAAAGCTAATCGCCACAAACGAAACTCTGGGTGATAATGAGTGACCTTTTAAGTCAAGTGGGTTGAAATGCTTGTATTCTACTTGAGAGAACCCGGGTTCGAGCCCCCAATAGAATCAAATAATTCACACTACCCGTGAAACCTGATGTAAAATTTACAGACTTTAACTTCAGTTTACATTGCAAAATAGGAATCTGTGTATCCTTACTTCTACTTTTAACCCATTTCTGTAAAATACTGAACGGATAGAAGCTGTTTAGAGATTGGTATAAGGGATGCACTGTGTATTTTCATACTCATCGGGACATTCTCTTGTTTCATGGTCTCTTGTCAACTTTCCCTACGGGTTGCAGCTATGCATTCATTTCTGAAGTTTAATGCCAATTATAAATTGCTGAAATATAATTACCTAATCTCTTCACGTGCAATAGACAACCCGTATTTGTTGTTCATCAATGATATACTTGTAAACGCGATTTTGGCTGCTCACTTCGACAATGGTAATCGACTCCGGGTATATTGTTATGTGCTGTCACTTACAGGGGTTATGTGTACTCGTGGTTCAGTGTGTCTCTGGTTGGGGATGATATACGATGTCAAGTTACAATTTAGCCTCCAAGTCTGGGTTCTGGCACGAGATTCTGTAATTCTGTGATAAATCTGAGTCTGGAGATCAAAACAGGAATACAGATATCATTCATCTGCATTATTGAGCCCAAGGTTCTTCACGAACGTTGTCATGAAGTCAACTCCTCCTCGTCCTCACATAGGAGAAAGTCGCTGATCAAGAATAAGGCAATCGTAGGTTGAATACTGTACTTACTTCAACTTAATCCCCGATACAGCGTTTACATTTGTAGAATCATGCATGAACAACTGTGGCGTACTCTTACTGCCATCTGTTTCACTCGCAAAACTGTTAGGATCGCACAGATTTAAGCATATGTATTAATATTTGTATTTATGTAACTTGTGTAAGCTTATATGCTTACATTTCGGCTAAAAATTAATACATTGGTCGTCACACGGAATAACATATATAGTTTCGTATAACATGCAAAATGAAGACTGTCGCTGAAGTTTGTTTCACCTACAATAATTCTGACGTAATTCACTTGCAACCTGTTGATTGTTTGAGTCCGGCAAAGAAGGGTACAAGGAAATCCATATGCATGGTAATACGAGAGAGTAGATGCCAAAAAGAGAAGCGCGTAGACAGATGGGAACGACAAGATCGAGATGCAGTGGATGAAGAGGGTCGTCTAGAATCTTGCTGACAAATTCGATACAAGAGTTGATATGATTATTGATTAGTTCTATGATGAGTGAATTCACGAACATCAATGATACATGACTGATTATTACCAAACACAGACTCATGGTTTGAAGTCTTGTGATAAAAGACAGGAACAGGGTAACAATGAGGTAGAGTGGGGGAAAATGTATTGGTGAGCGAGAGGACAGAACTGACTGTGGGGTTCAGAATTGCCTGAGTTTGCGTGACTGAAAAGATAGGTGTCTCTGTTTCCCCATAAAAATGTCAATGCGTATAAACCGCCGGAGATTACTGTCGAGGGTGACACCCAGGCACTTGAATGAGGGCATTCTGGCAACAGGTTTACAGTTACGGATAGCAGAATCCGTTGAAAACGAGGAGCTGGATAGGCTGAAGATACACTCTACGCACTTAAATGAGTTAAGACTGAGACCAAACTGATTAGAAAACTGTTGGATGTGGGATAGATTTTCAGTGAAGAAATGGAATCCTGCAGGAGATGAAATTGTCTGACATAAACTACTTTGTCAGCATACTTTTGGATATGTACAGGGATGGGACCGAAAGATCACTAATAAAAGCGGAAAAAAGATAAGGAAATAGAACAACACCTTGAAGCACACCCGAATTATTAACAAGAGGTTTTGATGTCCTCCTTCCCAAATTTGTGCGCTGGACTATCTTCGTGAAATAGTCAAAAAGCCAAGACAACAGCTGTCTCGGGGTGTCAAACGACTCAAGTTTTAAAAACAGA